AATACATTTAAGGTTATTTGAATAGATAAAATGTTACACATTTTTTTAAAAATAGAAGATTTATAGGGCACTTGGGTAGTTCAGTTCATTTAAGCATCCGATTTTGGCTCAGGTCATGATCTCACAGTTCTTGAGTTCAAGTCCCATGTCGGGCTCTGTGTTGACAGCTCAGAGCCTTGGAGCCTGCTTTGGATTCTACGTCTCCCTCTCTCTCTCTGCCCCTTCCCTGCTCTTTGTCTCTCTCTCAAAAAAAAAAAAAGAAGAAGAAGAAGAATACTATATTGTATATTTGAAAGTTGCTAAGGGTAGATCATAATGTCACAACAAAAATGAACTGGTAACTACATGAGATGATAGATGTGAGTTAATTAACCTTGTGGTGATCACTTCATGGTATTTACATGTAATGAGTTATCATGTTGTACATCTTAAACTTACACAGTGTCACATATCAAGTATATCTCAATAAATCTGAGGAAAAAGTATCAGCTGTCAAATATAATACTTCTTGGTGTGAGCAGAGGTCAACCAAGTATTTCATTCTGCAGAGGCAGTGTCCATCCACCTCTGAAATCTTATAAAGGGGCACCTGGGTGGCTCAGTTGGTTTGCCTTCTGACTCTTGATTTTGGCTCAGGTCATGATCTCACAGTTGTGAGATTGAGCCCCACATTCCTGCATTGGGCTCTGTGCTCCATATGGAGCCTTGCTCAAGATTCTCTCTCCCGCCTTGGGCTCTGTGCTGACAGCTAGCTCAGAGCCTGGAGCCTGCTTCAGATTCTGTGTTTCCCTCGCTCTCTGCCCCTCCCCCACTCATACTCTGTCTCTGTCTTTCAAAAATAAATAATGCATTTAAATTTAAGAAAAAAAAATTAAAGATTTTCAAACACTTCAGAGAAAAACATGGAAGGCTCAGAAATGTTCCATGGGTAGTCCCAAATTTCATAGTAGTGTAAAGACCTTACATTATACATCGGTTGCTAAAGGAATTAAAAAGGTTAACATTTTAACTGTTTTAGTTGCTTGATTACTGTTTATATTTAATTAAATTTTTCTTACCTTGAGCCCCTTAAAAATATGCAATTTTTAAACAAGATTTTAATGGACTTCAGGTGCACAAAATTGGAATAATCATTTTTCTAATTAGAAAATTAACATGATTCAGTATAAACAAATATTTGCTGAATGCGTGTGTATGTGTGTAAGAATACACACTACATTCCTGATACTCATCTATACCATAGAGCATGTATAATTTACATCTGTTGATCTTTATATTCCGAGTAATGGAAATATGGTAAAGCTTAGATGGATTTAACTGGGAATTAAAAGTTCTACATTTAAGAGGCACCTGGATAGCTCAATCTCTTGAGCATCTGACTCTTGATTTTGACTCAGGTCATGATCTCATGGATCATAGGATCAAATCCCGAGTCAGGCTCTGCACTGACAGCACGGAGCCTACTTGGAATTCTCTCTATCTCCTTTGTCTCTATCCCTCCCCCACAATGCTGTAATTCTCTCTCTCTCTCTCTCTCTCTCTCTCTCTCTCTCTCTCTCAAAATAAATAAATAAACTTAAAAAGAAAACTTCTGCATTTTAATTCAAATAGGCTCTGTGTGATTACCTGAGTCTCAGCTTCTCCCAAGGTCTATAGGGTTCCAGAAATGCAAGTATATTTTCTCCAGTTACATAAAACATTTTTCAAAGCAAAAGTTTGTTTTCTAGTGAGTTTTGTAGCTTCTAAAAAATTGCCTTTTTTTGTTGACTAACCAAAATCCTCAATGTGGGAGGTAGAAGTTCTATTAAAGCTTAAGATCGTTTAGTTACTTATAAGTAGTATACAGAGTTCAAAGATATTTGCTATTGTGAAATAAACCCTGTATTATCATACCTCAGTTATACCAAATTTGGGCGTAACTGACTGGCAGTTGGCTCTAGCCTTCTTCCCTAAACCAGTTATCAGTTGTCGCAAAAGGATTAGAAACTGGCTTATCTCAGCTCAATGTACAGATAGTTGTGTCCTGTATAAAGGTCACCATCAATGTTTTTGCATTTTGTATCCATAAAAACTGTCTAGAAAGTTGGTTTTTCATTAGCTTCACAATACCTCTACATTGTATGCGGCATTGCATGCCTCATGAGCGGGCATAACTTTAGAAAGACAGTTCTTACCTCTGATCCCTCAGCAAGTGCTATGTAAACAGTGGGGGGAATAGAGTTGCCAAAGAATTATCTGGATCTCAGCAGCATCTCTGGCATTTCTACATATTTGTAAAATCTCTTACTTCTTTTACTAAATTATTAGATGTTCAGCATCTGCAATATAAAAGTTCAGTAATACCTTCAAGGTATTAGGTCTGTAGATCTGGCATCTTTAGATACCATTTTAAGATTAACTCCATCTTTTCTGCTATTTTAATTTAGATTTTCCAGGCTGCTGCTTCATGTGTTAGTTCCTAGACTTAGTAAACACTCCTTGCCATTTTTGTGCACTCCCTTTGTCTCTATTTTATCTTTCTCACTGCTTTTATGGTGCTTTCTGTTCTCCCTCTTTTCTCCTACAGTCAGTGCTGTTCTACTGTGTCATTTGCATTCCTCAAAGTTATGAGCTCTGCAAAAATGAGCAATAAAACACACAGGGCTTGTGGAAGAAAAGTTTGTGTCACCACTTTATCAATGGCGTAAATCAAAGAGATAGAAAACTTTGATAAAGTTTTCTAAAAATAAAAATTGTAGCACCGTTTTACACGTTAAACAGTCAAGAATTGCATAAATACTACAATAAATATGGCTCTTTGCCTTGAAAAAGGCCCGAGTTTTCTTTACAGAAATGCATGTCACATGGGTTTGAGGGTTTGTGCATTATTGTGAAGTGATAGAAGGTGGGGTGTCTGAAATCAGATGGAAAATTGTAACATACACAGGGAGTGGTTTGACTCACAGCATGAGATACACTGATGAGATGTTAGATGTCTGAGGAGCGCGCATGTGTTCATTTTGTATGTTCATTTTGTATGTAGCTCAGTTCAGCTACGTATGGTTTTCTGTGTTTAGCCAATGATTTTCTGATTCACAGGAGTGAAATTGTGCATAAGAAAACCTAAAATTTAGAGCATGGAGTAACATACAGAGCTGTCAGATCATTAGGTTGTATACCTGAAAACGAATGTACATTGTAGGTCAACTGTACTTCAATATATTGAAAAAAAGAAAACACAAAATTTACATAACATTCAAATTGTTTCTTCACGTATCTATTGTATTAAAACAGATTCATGTTTAAATAGTCAAGAATTGCATAAATATATTACTCGGTTAAGCATCCGGCACCGGCTCAGGTCATAATTTCACGGTTCATGGGTTCGAGCCCTGCATTGAGTTCTGTGCTGACAGCTAGCTCAGAGCCTGGAGCCTGTTTTGGATTCTGTGTCTTCCTCTCTCTCTGACTCTCCCTTTCTCACGCTGTCACTCTCTCTCTCTTTCTCCCTCTCTCTCTCTCTGTCAGAAATAAATAAGACATTACATTTTTTAATTAAAAATAAGAATTGCATAAATACAACAAAATTTACATAACATTCAAATCATTTCTTCATGTATCTATTATATTAAAACAGATTCATGTTTTCCAAAAAAATCACTACACTAAAATTAACTGTACTTTCTTTGCTTTTTCTCATTTTATTTCTTTTCTTCATGTTTATCTTTTTTAACTGGCATCTGTTATTTTCATTTGTGTTAAAGCAAAGTACACCATTATTTTCTTATTTCGACCTGGTTGTGGCCTTTTTCTTTAGTGCTGTTTCTCCAGTTGTTACCCTGTTCCCCAGTTGTTTTGTGTTACTCCACCACAAAACTTCTCCAGGGCAGCTAGGCTGTAGGACATGCTTCTGAAGACATGGGTCACCCTGGTTTCTAAGCAGCAAGGGGAGAAATCAATCTCAAAGTATTTAATCCTTTTAAGCCTCCTTCCTATGTGTTGTGTGCACTCATGACTTTTATGTTCTTAGCAATATAGAAATCAAGGCTTTTTTATGCTATACCTTTGTTCCAGCTAGGTCACATTCACACCAGAAATAACCTTCTTTAAAAGAAAAATGTGTGTAAGCTCTTTCTCTGAGAGTCATTGAAAATAAAACTTGCAAATGCACCAAGATTTTGAATAAAAGTAGAAAATATGGGGCGGCACCTCAGTGGCTCAGTCTGTTAAGCATCTGATTCTTGATTTCGACTCAGGTCATGATCTCATGGTCCTGAGATCGAGCCCCATGTCAGGCTCCACACTGGGCATAGAGCTTGTTTAAGGTTCTTTTCCACTGTGCTTGAGTGGCTCAGTCACTTGAGCATCTAGCTCTTGAGTTTGGCTTGGGTAGTGATACCGCATTTCATATTAAGCCCCATGTCAGGCTCTGCGCTGATAGCACAGGGCCTGCTTGGGATTCTCTCCCTCCCTCCCCTTCTCTCCCCCTCTCTCTCTTCCCCTTCCCTGCTCTCTGTCTCTCAAAATAAATAAGTAAACTTAAAAAAAATTCTCTCTTCCCCTCTCTCTGCTCCTCCCCTGCTTGCATTCTCTTTCTCTCTCTCTCTCTCTCAAAAAACAAATAAATAAAAAAAATATTACACAGTTTCTGTGTTCCTTCTTATTTAATAATAACATGCTGCTTATATAAACATAATATTGTTTGGATATAATTGATAAAATAATAACTGCCATTTATTAAATGTTTGGGATACATGCTAAGTGTGTATGTATATATATGCATATATATATATATGTGTATTTGTTGAGATGCATCTTTTACCTGTTTGAAAATTATTGATCTACCTTTATATTTTAATGTCCATTAAGACTTTTCTCAAAAACTTAGTTTTTCTTCAAAACTAATTAGGGCTCTTAATTCGCAGGGTGAAAGCTCTATCGGTTTCATTTCTTTAAGTTTGTGAATTTTAAATTAAAGATGAAGAGAATCCTAAGGCCATTTCTTTTTTCCTTTCCTGCAGCGTTTGTCCAACGGTTCTATAGACTCAACCGATGAAACTAGTCAAATAGTCGAACTACAAGAATTACTTGAAAAGCAAAACTATGAGATGGCTCAAATGAAAGAACGTTTAGCAGCTCTCTCTTCCCGAGTGGGGGAGGTGGAACAGGAAGCAGAGACAGCAAGAAAGGATCTTATTAAAACAGAAGAAATGAACACTAAATATCAAAGGGACATTAGGGAGGTAAGTGATTTATAAAATTTTCAGTCTTTGCTTTCTGAATGCTGCTTCTGAGATGCTTTTTGCAAATCTCGCATAATGACATACAATCTTTACATCTATTCAAAGGACCGTAATTTGGGATGCATTATATTACTCAGGAAAAATGTCCACTAAGGCAAAAATAGTTTATTTATTTTCTCAACCCTTTAAATATGTATGAAAAGAAAATTTCATATCAAGTCTCAGGCAGAGTAAAAACTTCCTATAGTTTAAATGAATTTTAAAAATTGTAAGCTGCTAATTTCAAATAGCTTTAGATGTGAGTATGAATAATGAATTGCTGCACTTTTAGCAAATGTGAATACTTAATATCATTACTTTAAATTTTCCCCCTCTTATTTTGGTGTTGTGTCTGTGAGTGTGGATGTATACGTGGGAACCTGGGAATCTTTTTTTCTCCATGTATTCAGTTCTTCTTAGATGTAACATCGCTTCATCTGTTTAAAAGAGTACTTGAAAGTTACTACAAAACTTATAGGGAGAGGTTTTTGTAACATTGCCTAACCACCTTACCAACTAAGGTGAAATGTTTAGAACCTTTCACTTTCTCACTGTATTCAATTAAAAGAAAATTCATATGGGTGAAAAGTTTACCTTTTACCTTTTGTCATTTTTACTTATTCTTTAAAACTACATATTTTATCTTATTTATAGTTTTGTATTTAATTAACTAGTTGTAATTGGAGTTGACTCTACTCCATATATTCAGTTGTTTCCTTCCCATTCCCTCTTGAGCCCATTTTATTTACTTTTGCCTCCAGCATCCCATCAAATCTGTTCTTATCAAAGTCATTACTGACCTCCATGTTATTAAACATGGACCCAATCATTTCTCCAACTTATCCTGTCCTGATTCCCAGATGCCTGGAAAATTAACGTATTCTCAAAATTAACATATTCAAGACTGTTTTCCTGTTATTCTCCCACCCCCAAGGAACCAGTTTCTTGTAGTCTTACACATCTCACCTGTCTTCAATCCCATTATTGTTGTTCAGACCAAAAGCCTTGGAGCTGTCCTTGGTACCTATTTCACACACACTGCATATGATTCAGTCATAAGCCCATTTCCAGCTTCAATATTTATCAATAATATGACCTCTTCTCACAATCTTTATGGCTCTTCCTTATTTTACACAATCACCTCTCTGAATTACTACAGTAGTCTTGTGACTGGTCTTCCTTCTTCTGCCTTTGACTCGCTCACCGCAGTCTGTACTCAACATAGCAGCCTCAGTGACCTGTTACAATGTTAAGTCAGCTCAAGTTACCTTTCTGCTTCAATGGCTACCTATCCTACTTACAGTAAAATCTGTCTTTGCAGTGACCTATGAGCCATGTACAATCTCCGCTACCACCTTTCTGACCTCTGGGAACTCATCTCCTACTATTTCATTTTAGCCCACTCTGTTCAGTTAAGATGGCCTCTTAGACTAGCCAGACCTATTCTATTGAGTTTTCTTTTCCTCTTCCTTTCGCTCTCATGTTTTCTTCTCAGCGACATGTTCCCTAACCTTGTTATTTGCACATGAACACTCTTCCTCTTCTTTCATTTTCTTTGTTTTGTCTCACAGTTTATACTGTCATCGGACACAATATGTACTTTACCGACTTACCTGTTTGTCATATACCTCCATCTCCACTATACATAAAGATTCATAACGGCTGGGATCTTTTTGTTTTTGTCATGTTTTGTTCACTATTCTATTCTAATCACCTACACAACTATTGAACTTATGATAGGCATTCAAAAAACTTTGTTGAAAGAATGGATATTTATAGGTGTTTGATGTAAATATCAGAAGACATGGATGAGTTTAGAATGTGTACTAAAACAATACCTGTTATCTAAGAAAAAAGGGTGGATGATCCTTGAAGTGGCAGGCTGTTCTACTACCATGCAAATGATGGTTCTGTGCTCTCTACTCCTTTATATGAAGCGATCGTTCAAGGACATGTCTCTCATCTTCACTCCTTAGCTGAAGGAGTTTATATCTCCTTCAGTGCCACTCTTCTATATCACTATTAAGAAACACTAAGATTTCTGGAGGAGAGGGCAAGATGGCGGAGAAGTAAGTAGCTCCGTACTTGCACCCGCCCCCATACATCACACAGAAAAGATCCGAAGACATTGGAAACCTTACAAAACCTGAGAGATTGGGAGAAAAAAGACGCAGAATCCACTGAGAGAGCCTTCTAACGTGAGTGCGAACCGGGGAAGATAAAATCGGGCCGGGATCGGAGACTCCAGGGGGGAG